GCAGGTCCTTAGCTTGACCACAGCTCCAGCATCTCTTTTTGCCGGATAAGATAACATATTTCCAGGTTCCAGGGATTAGGACGTGGGCATCTTTGGGGTGGGGCAGGAGCATTATGCTATTACATCACCTCCCAGGTCTCCTTGGTCCTTCCCAGACAGGGGTACATAGGAGGCCGTGGTAGGAGAGGATGGGTTGAGCAGGATGTTGAAGAGAAGTCTGGACTCAAATTATCCAGTTTGTTTCTGTCTGCAGTTTAAATCCCGACTCAGTCATTTATCAGCTCTAGACAATTGCTTATTGCTTCTAAGCCTCAATATTCCCATCTGTGAAAGGGAGATGAAATTCACTTCCATTAATTGAGCCACAGCTCAATTAAAAAATCCCTATTCTGGCATTTACTTGCATTTACCTTGGGCAGTCGGGATAAATTTTTTATTTCCGTGTTGAAATGGCACTAATTATCATGGCTGATAGACTACGTGCGTATATACTCTGTAGTGTTTGTACTAACAGGACTAATATATGCCAAGGGTCTGTTTGACAATAGTGCTTGGCATATGGGAAGCAGATCTATTTTCCTTCCTTCCCTCCTTCCTTCCTTCCTTCCTTCCTCTCTCTCTCTTTCTTTCTCTCTTTTCTTTTTTCTTTTCTTTCTTTCAGATGGAGTTTCACTCTTGTGGCCCAGGCTGGAGTGCAGTGGTATGACCTTGCCTCACTGCAACCTCTGCCTCCCAGGTTCAAGCAATTCTCTTGCCTCAGCCTCCTGAGTCACTGGAATTACAGGTGCCGACCACAGACAAAAAAATTTTTTTTTTGTATTTTTAGTAGAGATGGGCTTTTCGCCATGTTGGCCAGGCTGGTCTTGAACTCCTGACCTCAGGTGATCCACCTGCCTCAGCCTCTCAAAGTGCTGGGATTACAGGTGTGAGTCACTGCACCGGCCATATTTTTCTTATTTCTTACTTTCTTCTTTCTTCTCCTCCTCTTCCTTTCCTTCATCATCACCCATTTTTACCTGTGTCTCCATGTATATCCTCATGTATTTTTCCCATGCCTAGCTCATCTGTCAGGCAGCTTTCAAATTCACCAGGTCAGAGCCTGATTTTTCATCAAGAAACTCCTGTGTGCTGTGGATGCTTTGCTAATGCTGGTTCCTTCTGTTGGGCCTTCTGTTTGTCCCCCTGACTACTAAGGTGATTCCAAAGACCTGGGCTCCTGGCTTTTCCCTCTTCTGTGTGAAGCCCCTTCCGGGCAGAGGCATTTCTCAGAAGACATTGACAGCTAGACCTGTGCAAGGGGAGAAGAAACCTCCCTTCTTCCACCTCTTTCTCTTTCTGTGTACTAGAAATGAAAATATCTAAGGAGAAATGTCTTATTATTCTACTCCTGAGACCGTAGGCACCAGGCATGCACAAAATTCTGCTTCTGTGTCTGCATGACTTGTTTTCAGAAAATTAGAGTAGAAAAGAAGATTCTGTCAGCTATGGAGACATCTTAATAGGTGCTTTGATTGTTAAACAGAAGCTTCTGTATCGGTTTAATTGCTGTAAATGTTGTTTGCCTTCCCTGTTATGATAAGGCCTGGATTTTCATAGATTTTTTTTTCCCCCTTCCCTTTCAACAGTTTGCCATTGCTTTAAGGCTTGCATTGGCAAGTTTAATAAAATCCAAATGAGGAAAGCAAAGAGAGGATCTCAAAGTTCAAATCTTGACGCCCACGTAGGAAGCCGAGTGGAGGTTATCATTGCTTGAGACTGATGATGCTGCAGCCACTTAATGTAATTGACAGAATTCACCCCTTCAACCAGATATTGGGAAATGAGACCAAACTACTAAAGTTAATTACATCTATTTTTTTTGAAAAGGAGCTATAATTGAGAATAACTGAATAACTAGGCTATGAACGTAATAGTGAGATGTGCTTATAATAAAAGAGGATTTGTTCTCTGCAGACTTGAGCCTCAGAAGCACCATCTGGGGGTTTTTTGGTGGAGGGGTGGTAGTTAGTAAGGGAGAGAGGCTGGAGAAGCAGAGAAACATCTAGATCAGGAATTCTCAACCTTGGTGCTATTGACATTTTGGGCTGCTTAATTCTTTATTATGGGAGTCTGCCCTGTGTATTGTAAGATGTTAAAGAGCATCCCTGCTGTCTCCCTACTAGATGCTAGTAACACACACACACACACAGACACACACACACACACACACACACACAGAGTGTGACAACCAAAAATGTCCCCAGACATTGCCAGATATCCCCTAGGGGGAAAATGCTCCTCTGATTGAGAATGGGGGTTGCAGGGGCTTCTGGAAGACTATCAAACAATTGCAGAGTTACTCATTGGAAATCTGCAGGTGCGTGGCTGTGTGGCCTTTTGCAAGTCACTGCACTTCTCTGAGCTCCTTTGTCTTCCTTTGCACAATAGGAATAATGACAGCCTGACCGCATGGAGGAAGAGCTTCCAGGTATAAAATGCATAGCCTAATGCCTAGCACCTATTGAGTAATCAATAAACTCGGTGTTTTTATTATAATAATCTTGGATTCAGCAAACGTGTGTTAACTACTTTGCCGCAAGCATGATGCTGTGAGGTGGTGATGCAAAGAGGAGATGTGGTTCCCACCCTTGCAGATGGCAAGTGTATGCGGACCTGTTGGTACAATCTCATTCTTTACCCATGGCAGAGATTGCTAATCAGTTTCAGTGCCCTTTCCCACTGAGCCTCGGAATCCATTTTAACACACTTCTTTGGGCAGCCACTACTAGTAGCCCCTGAAATGAAACCCATTTAGCACTCTTAGCTTTGTAGATTTCCTTGTAAGGATGCTAACTCCTCCTCTCCGGCGCATTCCTCCCATTCCCACCCACTCCTGGCACTGGAGAAAGCACCTCAAGGACTTAATAGGTAGAATCCCTCCTCTCACATCTGACTTCAGTCCCCAAAAGAGTTAGGAATGGAAAAAATTCTCTCTTAAATTTTTTTTTTCTCTTGTCTTTTCTGTTTCCCTCAGAAATGGTAACGTGTAGTGAAATGGGCTTGAGGTTGATGACATTTAGTTTTTAGTTAAACTAAAGGAATCCCACAGGCTCTAATTCTGATTGATATATCATGCTGTCTCCCTCTTAGGTTTTCTCTGCCCTCTGGGGCCTGGAAAATCATTAGCTCTCTCATAAAGGATCCCAGCTTTACAAGGGCAGAACTGGGATTTCTGGAAACAACACTGGATGGCTGCAGACAGCATCATTAGACAGAAGAGAGGAGCGAGTAGGTTGGGGGTTAAATGCTCCCTGATAGGTTCTGACATGCCCGACTCCCCGAAGAGAGCACCGCTCCATAACAATTGCTGTGAAAAATGAGGCATACACTTGCAGCTCCAAAAGCAGGGAGCTGGCTCCATCCATCTGGCCTGAGAAATGAGAACTGGCGTGCAGGGTCAGGCACTTGCTTCTCCCCTCCCTGCCCAGTATGGATTCCACAGGCAGCACTAGTTTATTGTTGTCATTGTTTCACACCTCTCCAGGGCCTGCAAGCTCTGCCAGAAGGGTGGTGTGGGCAGTGGGCAGTAGGGCGGAGGTGGAACCTGGTGCACAGGGTCTGCAGGAGACCCAGAACTCAGTCTGTGATGGAATGATAGTGCAATTCGCTGAGATCTAGCCTAAGGCTTGAAAGAAAAGACCAGATGGAGGCAGGCACCTCATCTGCAGTCTGATTTTTTTGTTTCTTCCTCATTCCCATTCATCATTCATCTGCCCACCCACCTATCTATACACTCACCTACCCGTCTTTCCATTCACCCATATGTCCATCCGTCCATCAGTCCATCCATCCATCCATGACCTCACTCACCCACCTATTCATCTATCAATTCATCTATCCATTCACTCACCCATCTATCCATCCATCCACTTGCCCACCCACCTACCTATCCATCTACCCACACATCTATCCATCTCTCTATTCGTCTGTCCGTCCATCTATCCATCCATCCATCCATCCATCCATCCATCCATCCATCCACTTGTCCACCCTATCCATCTGTCCATCCACTCACCCATCCACCTATCCATTTACCCATGCATCTATCCATCTCTCTATTTGTCCATCCATTCATCCATTCATCTATCCATTTATCCATCCATCCATTCATCCATCCATCCATCCATCCATCCACCCATCCACCCACCCATCCACTTGTCCACCCTATCCATCCATCCATCCGCTCACCCACCCACCTATCCATCTACCCCCTCCCCAATCTATCTGCTCATCCATCCGTCTACTTACTCTAGCATAACTTTAGGTGGTACGTGGTTGTACATTATTCAAATAATTATCTATAATATACAGAAAGTGATATGGCTTTCTGCATAGTGTTGGCTTTTAAAAATAAGTGCATTTAGACAAAAAAAAATTGGAGTCAGCCTAAAATACAAAATAAATAACTTCATGGTTGTACAGAGGCATGATAGAATTGGGAAGGGGATACTTGGATGACTAGCACTTGGAACCCGCTGCATTATAACTTGCAAGGACACATGTTCATTTTGGGTTACTTGAACCTGAAACCACAGCTTCTGTGCAGCTTCTGAGATATATGACCTAGAGCAAGTGACATCCCTCTCCAAGCCTCAGTTTTTTCTTCTGTAACATGAAGATGCTAGCAACTCCTATTCTTGGGGTTGTTTTGAGAATGCAGCAAGCTTTGGCACCCACATGCTTGGCACACACCAAGCACTCCATAAGTGGAAGTGATGCTCACTTTTAGTCATTCCACAGCTGGCTTCTTTTAAGGCATCCCCTGAGTGCCCTGCCCAGGAGAACTTGCGTGAGTTGAGGTCACAAGCTAAACCAATGTTCTTCTTGGCTTTGGTTTAGCAAGTGATGGCAGCTGGTGTCCTTCCTTAGGTTGACAAGCCTCCCTTTTCCTTCCAGGGTATGCCAGAGCCCACCCCAGTCTCTGACCCTCTGTATAACAGGCTGTTCTCTTCTCTCTGTAGACACACTGTCAGTGCCACGCTGGTCCCCGCAGATCCCTCGCAGAGACCTCGGCAACTCCATCAAGCACAGGTAGGCTGGATTCCCATGTGCCCTGGTGCCTTCTTTCCAGCCCTGTGAGGGGTGGGGGCTCTGGCCCCTGCCCTGGGGTGAGAGAAGGCTGGGCTATTGAGCTCTGGCACCTACATCACTGTGTCCCTTTCTCCTCTGCTAGGCTAAACTTTAAAGTGGCAACAAGGGGACAGAGACATCTACTTCTTACTAACCTGGTTCTCATAAAATTAGCACATAGCAGTTAAAAGCCAGGGCTTTGGAGTCAGACTGACCTGTGTTCCAATCCCAGCTAGTAAAGCTTTGCAACCTTGAGGAAGTTGCTTAACCTTTCTGAGGCTCAATTTTTTCACTAAATAATTCTGCCTACCTATGGGTGGCTGTACAGATTAAATGAGATAATATATGTAGAGTGCTTAGCTCAGGGCCTGGCAGGTAACACTCAATAAACGGTATCATTCTTAAGATGAATGCTTTATGTTCTAATTTTCAGTCTCCTCACCCAGAATACACAAGATTGCAGTTGCTCAGTCTCTGGTGTGGCAGAGGTTGCTCCAGAGCTCTAGCCCTGCTGTGTGCATGGAATAGCCTCTCCAGGGCTATACCTGCCGTTTTGAGGGGAGGGGGTTGCATACACCAGGCATCGCTTATAAGTTCTTCAACTCCCCAAATTTAGCTTTCCCCATTTTGTCTTGGTAGTTCCACAGTCTCCTTACAAACTTAATGGGGTGAGCAGGGCAAGTGTGCTCATGGCCATTGGACAGATAGGCAAACTGAGGCCCTGAAAAATTAAGCGGTAGGTCAAAAAGCTAATTAGCCTCAGTACTTTGTGTTCTTTTGACACCCTGCTGAGTGTTCCATGGACCGGGTCCTCTGTGAACTCGCTGGGGGACTTGTTCACTCATTCGTGGATTCTTTCCACTTGTGTTTATAGAGTTTCTGTGCCATAGTTGCAGCACTGACCAAGACGTAAGGCCTGTTCTCTTGGGGAGCTTGCTGTCCAGGGGAGGGTCAGGCAGTTAACAGACCACGACAGTATGGAGAGATCAGGGTGACAAGGTGGGGTGATATCGGGGGCAGATGTATCACCATAGCTGGGGGCATGGCGGGGATGCGCGTTCTCACAGATGAGGACTCACGGAATGGCATCTCGTCAGCAGGTTTTGAAAGAAGTATGTTGACAGCATAGTTGTTAAGACTTAAACGAGAAAACGTTGGAGGAAGCAGTGACAAGTGTGCCATAGACGCGTCAGTGGTCAGGCCTTGAGCAGCGGAGAGAAGGGCATCGGAGGAGACAAGGACCTTTTTTGGTATTTTCCTCCTTGCTGCTCTCTGGCTCTGCTCCACCGCTGGATTGGCCACGCCCCTTGATTGGCCATGCCCCCGGACTGGTCCTGCCCCTGGCTCATCACCATTCTTGGATTGGCCACGCCCCTGGCTCGGCCACGCCCTTGGCTCGGCCACACCCCTGGGTGAGCCACGCCTCTGGCCCACCTCTGCTCCTGGATTGGCCGTGCCCCTGGCTCAGCCCTACTCCCTAGATCGCCCAGCCCCCAGGCTGCGGTAGTTCCTAAGATTCAAACGCTGATGCCCAGAGGAGGGAGACAACCTATTAATTTTAGGAATATGTTCCTAGAGGAGCTGAGACTTAGGATGACCTGTTATTCTTCAGTCACTCCCTGTGTTTCTCCTTGGGGTTAATGCCAAGAGGTAGAGAACTGGACTCGCCCCAGCCTTGGTGAAGAAATGAAATTAAAATCCCATCTGCTGCCATCAGAGTCACTTCAGCCAGAGCTGGGGAAGAGGCAGAGCTGATCCTGAGCGCAAGAGAGGGCTGGAAAGGAGAAAAAAACTGCCACTCACTGCTTATGACGCCTGACTGATGAGTGAAATACATGCTTCTTTGCCGCCATTCCCCAGAGCCGCCAAATTCTGCAAAACGGACAATGCTAAACTCACTGATGCTGAAGGGAAAGAAAGGGGCTTGACCAAATCCCAAGTCCAAAACCAGAGAGGGAGAGTTTTCTTGGCAGTAAGTGTCTTTGCTCAGAATATTGCTATTTGCTTCGATTTGTAGGCTTTGGGCTGTGGCTTCTTCTGTTTGGAGAGTGACCGACCCAAATCAGGCAAAATGGTCCAGCAAAGGGATGCAACCTTTCCCTCGAAATTCTCAGACTCCAAGTTATATAATCACTTCCGATTTCCCGTTTGACACTCTGAGGCGGTGGAGATTAGATACAACTCCTGCTGCTGGTGACACAAATTGAAAATTAAAATTAACTGTGACCTGGCAACCTTCAGTACTTTCCTTGGGCCTAGCCCTGCCGCTGCCACATATCTCTTGGGGAAGAAAGCACCCCAGCAACATCGAGGGGAGATGTACCCAGGGAGTTAATCGAATGCACCTCTGCTCCAGTTGGTTTATAGCTGTGCATGGGAGGCCTGCAAACTGCGTGTTTGCAGCAAGTGGGTGGCGTTGGAGAGCAGGGTGAGCTGATGGTCTGAAATGGCTTTCACTTTCAAGAAATCTTCTCTGCCACTAAAATTTGGGGTCTCAGCTCTTTCAGGAGGGGCGGGCACCCTTTGATGGTCCCCAGGTGATATGACCAGCAAGTGCTGGGGGATGGCTCAGCAGGTCCCCCACGAGGCTCCACCTTGCTCCGTAGCTTTCTGCAGGCAGTTCCAACCCTGTCCATTATTGGCATACAGTAGGCTGCCGGGCAATATTTGTTGAACAAATGAATGACCCTCATGAATGTTTAAGGTAATAGTATAGTCACAACCCAATTTAGTGAGTGCTTACTATGTACCAGGCACTGTGCAAAGCCCTTGACATGCCTGACCTCGTTTAATCTCCCCAGCAACCTATGAGGTCAATTCCTTTATTATCTGCACTTTGCAGATGGGGAAACTGAGGTTCCAGTGGTTTCAGCTACTTGATTAAGTCGCCTAGCTCGGAAGAATCAGGACTGGAACCCGGGGTTCTTGGGCTTGCTCTTAAAGTGCTCCATCCCTCCAGAGGTAGGTCAGTTGCCGTTTCCTTAACCTTGAACATTTTCTGTCTCTTTTCCACAGGTTTTCCACCAAGTACTGGATGTCTCAGACATGCACAGTCTGTGGGAAAGGGATGCTTTTTGGCCTCAAGTGTAAAAACTGCAAGTAAGTGACTGTGCCTTGGAGTGACTTTTTGCAGCACCCGATGTCAGCTAGAACCATGCAGGGCACTGAAATAGCTTTTGGGAGTTTGATTTCTTCACTCTTGGGAGAGTTGTTTGCTTTGTTTTTTCAGAAATAGATTTGAAATGCACCTCTACGTTTGGGTAGTGGGTCAAGGGAGAGCAATTCTGAGTAAGAACCAGAGCTGATGGAAGATGCTGGGAATGCCTAATGCTCTGTGCTGAGGCACAGGGAACTTCTCATTTTCATAGCGCCTAAGGCCAGGGGCTTGGCAAACTCATTCTCTAGTTGACCAGATAGTAAATATTTTAGGCTTCGCAGACCAGAAGCAGTCATAAACAATAAACATACTGGCGAGAGCAGCTCCCAATATATCAACGTGGGTTTAAGATCTCTCAAAGTGATCAAGTGGTTGGTGGAAAAAAAAAAAAAAAAAAAAAAAAGCTTTTTTTAAATTTTTTTAAGGGGAAGCAGAGGCAGTAATTACCAAGCATTAGTACTTCCAGGCCACCTTCCTTGCCTTGGTCGTCTGTGAATCCAGGCTCTCAGGTGTTCTTTCTGATGACCAAAGTCACAAGGCCAGGCCTTTAGGTCAGGCCCCCAGACCACCTGATCTTCTCCATACACCAGCAGCTCTGATGGCCTGTCTCATCTGTATCTAGTCCCACCACGTTCCGTGGGGGTAATGGCAACTTTTACATCCTCACACCTGCCGTGCGGAGGCTTTGAAGTCAGGTAATTAGGTGACAGGGATGCAGCTGGGGTAGCAAGGCTGAACACTTCCCAAGCCGTTTTAATTTTCAGCCCTTAGGCAGAACTCAAAGGCAGCCTTTGCGAGTGCTCTCTGTTCTAAAAGTCATGAGCAAAGCCTTAGGCCTTGCCAAGGGTTGGGAGAGGAGGTTGGGGGAGGGATAGGGATGGGGCGGTGGGCAGGCTGCAAGAACACAAGACTTTGGAAGCAGTCAGAACTGAGGTTGGGTCCCAGCTCCATTACTAAACTCTTACATGAGTTTAAGCAGAAGTGTGCCCTCATGGGGCTCAGTGTCTCCCTGTCTCTCTGCAACGCAAATGTGACTTTAGCGCCCACCACAGTGCTGTCGGAAGGAGTCAGTGAAATGTCCATGCTCCAGATTGCAGTGTTTTATCAGAGAACGTTCCTCCTTATTCCATCTTGTGCAAAAATGACTCCTGGCATACAAGAGGCAAAATTCAAAACCAAAAATTCAAAACGTGAAGATCTGACATGCTTCAGGAGTTTTGACACGGTGCTTGCAGAATCTACAACAGAATCGAGAGCTGTCTCCAGTGCATAATTATGAGCATGCGTTGCTAATATCACTAGTTGAAGTTGAGACATATTCTACAAATAAATTCCTGCAGTTTTTGCATTAGTTATATCGAGGATAGAGGGTTATTTATGTGTGTTTTTGAAGATTGGCAGAATTTTGGATGCACTTATGAGCTGATAAAAGGATTGGATAAGGGATAGAAATGGGAAATGTACAGACCCAACTGTCAAGGAGTTTAGAGGAGACACACCTATGGAAATTGAATGTCAATAAAATGGAAGTGTACACATAAAGAGCAGTGACAGGTGACATTTCAGAGAGGTGACACCAAGGATGGGGAGGCAGCTTCTCATAGAAAATGAGCAGAACCATTTGTTCACTTACTCAGCTAATGTTTATTGAGCGCCTGCTATGGACCCTGCACTGTTGTAGGCACTGGGGAAGCAACAATGAATAAAAGAGGCAAAATCTCTTCCCTAGTTTCCATGCAGGGGCATGGGCAGGAGTCAGGCAGACAGTAAACAAAGTAAATTAGTAAATTAGGTAATATGTTAAGATGATCCAAAATACTAAGAGACGGATGAAGCAGAGAAGGGTGAGGATGAGGGCTGCAATTGTCCATTAAAATGGTCAGGGATAGTCTCATACCTGAACGAGAACTTTGCAAAAATAGGAGTATGTGTCATTTCCTGTCCTCCGAAACCTGGATTTGAACCTTCCTTGGAGGGATTTTTTTTTTTTTTTAAATCCAGGGCAAATTCAGTTCTGTAACTGCTGGAACGCCCTGAGATTGGATTGGCCTCATGCTATTCTACACGTGGTCCCTGGGGACAAACACCGTCAGTGTCACCTGACACCTGGCTAGAAATTCACATTCTCGGGGCCCACTCCAGACCTGCCAAATCAGAATTTGCATTTTAAGATGGTCCTTGACATGGTTTGGCTGTGTCGACACCCAAATCTCATCTTGAATTATAGCTCCCATAATTCCCACGTGTTGTGGGAGGGACCTGGCAGGAGGTAATTGAATCATGGGGGCCGTTTCCCTCATACTGTTCCCATGGTAGTGAATAAGTCTGAAGAGATCTCACGGTTTTATAAGGGGAAGCCCCTTTTGCTTGATTCTCATTCTCTCTTGCCTCCACCTTTTGCCTTCCATCATGATTGAGAGGCCTCCCCAACCACGTGGAACTGTGAGTCCCTCCAGCCTCTTTTTCTTTGTGAATTACCCAGTCTTGGTATGTCTTTATCAGCAGCATGGAAACAGGATAATACAGTCCTGCTGGTTCTTTTGCACATTAGCATTTGAGAAACACTTCTCTGGGTGATATCCAAATTTGTTTCCTGAGCTACTTTTCATTTTCTAGATGATGATTCTTAAACCTGAGTGTGCACAAGAATCCGCTGGAGGGTTCATTTAAAAAACAGCTTTCTGGGCTTCACTCCTAGAATCTCAGGTTCAGTACCTCTGGGGAAAGCTTCTAGAATGTGCACTTCTAACAAGTTCCCAGGCCACACTGAGGCTGCTGGTCCTCGGACCCCAGTTTGTGAACCACTGCTCTACATTAGAAGTAGTAGTTTAAAAAACAAAATTAAACTTTATTCTCCAGCTGGACATTTCATAATGCAAGATGTTTGTGTAAGTATAGACAGTCTTTGCTGATGATTTTTCAGGCTCTTCTGTTCTTACACGCCTTAGCTGCACTCTACAGATAGGAATCTTTTTCTTCATCATCTCTCCAGCAAATTCCACCAGTAAATATTGGTGTGATGAACCTAAAAGATAACATGTGATTAGGAGCCAGCCGCAGTGGCTCACACCTGTAATCCCAGCACTTTGGGAGGCTAAGGCAGGCAGATCATTTGAGGTCAGGAGTTCGAGACCAGCCTGGCCAACATGATGAAACACTGTTTCCACTAAAAATACAAAAATAATTAGCTGAGTTTGGTGGTCCGTGCCTATAATCCCAGCTACTGGGGAGGCTGAGGCAGGAGAATCGCTTGAACCCAGTACGCGGAGGTTACAGTGAGTCAAGATTGCACCACTGCACCCCAGTCTGGGTGACAGAGTGAGACTTTATCTCACACACACACACACACACAAAAAAAAAAAAAAAAAAAAAAAAAAGAAAAAAAGAAAGGAAAAGGAAAAAGATAACCCGTGATTAGGAACGCAGGCTGTAGGTCAGACATGCCTATATTTGAACCCTGACTCTGCTGCCAACTGATCATGTGGCCCCTTGGAGTCTTAGTTTCTTTGTAGAATGGGGATAATAATATCCGCCTTACTAGATTGCTTAACAACAATAACAACAAAAAGTAAGGTAATTGTTCAATGACATGTTCATCCTGGTATGCAGTCCATTAGAAGTGTTTGATTAATGTAAGCCAGTGCTGTTACTAATGCTATTACTAACTTTATGAATTAACTATGGGGCACCCCTCCACCCAGGAAGCCAGAAACATCTTCATATCTAACCCCCTTCCCTCCCGCTCCGATTCAATGCCCACTTCCTCCGGAATTATCATTAGCTGTCTTGTTGGCATTCTGAATAGAGAGATTAATGAACTAATAGGAAATTAAGACTCAGAAAGCAATTTGCAGTTATCTAAATTGAGGCGTTTCAATCTAATAGGTTCATGAGAGCGGAATGGAGTTTAGCTCTCAGTGTAGAATGTCAGCACAATTCACATATTGTCTGATAACTGGATTCAGCTGGCAGAAGTTTGCTTTTGCGGTAAGATGCTGATGGATTTCCCAGCCTTCAATCATGTGTTATCTGCATTATTCCGCCTTTTCAGGGTCCTTCCACAGGTTTCTGCAGAGTAAGATCTGGTTCCTTGGAAACCTCTCTACCCCTATCTGCATTTCTTGCAGGAAAATAAATGCACAACAGTGATTTGGGTCACATCTGCTCTAGAAAATGAGAGTTTGAATGAAGGTGCTTTTATTTTATTTTATTTTTTCCTGCATGGGCTGGAGTGTGAAAGAGAGAGGAACATCTTCCAAAACCACCAGTGGAGAAGTAGCATTTTAACTGTCTCCTATGCTTGTTTTAGCTAACCATTTTCTCTTCTCAGATTATGTTTTGGTTCTGGTTAGTTCAGCCTTCTCTGAGCATGTGGTGATTCTTTGCTGCCGCTCGGAGTATAAGGGTGAAAAAGACACACTTGTCCTCGAGATGCTCACGGTCACTGTCAGTTCTCAAAGAAGGCATGCCCCAGCCCCACCTGTCTCGCGATCAGGGTGCAAGCTTAGCATTGCAGCTTCCTGAGTCAGACTCTGAGCATAAAGCCTAGAAATGTGCATTTAATTAAACCTCCCAGATAATTCATACTTGTACTTAAGTGTGGAAGTGATGTGGTACCACATCAAGATCAGATGGCTACATTAATGCATATCAGGACCTGCTAATGCATATCAGGATCTGCTAAAGGACCTTGAGGCTGTCTTGAAGGAAGAGGAGATAGCCAGGTGAAGCAGTGGTCAGGGTGCTCTGCGCCAAGGAAACAGCCTGAGCAAAGGCTTGGGCTTGGACGTTAAAGGCCTTGAGCATATTTTGCAATTGTTTGTACCAGGCAGGGAGTCAGGGAGAGTGCAAAGATTCTGCTTTGCAGCTGCAGGACTGAGCCCAGATTGGGTGGGCCAGTTGTTGCCATGAATCATGTTGCTGCTCCCTGAGGCTCCAGGCA